ATAGATTACACCGAACTATTTCCCGTGCTAAACCTACAAAAGGTTTCGCGGGTCCATATCGTACCTTTAGAGATACAGTAAAGTATCACCGAACCATAAAGGTTTCGTATGGTACCTTTATTTTTTTCAGTGCACACCAAATCTGCAACAATGCTCGAAATGAAACGTTTACTGTCGCCGATGAATTGTCTCACGCATCTTACTCTTCGTATCACTCGGGTGGAAAATAACATGACGGATGATAATGCTTGGATACAATTAGTACATAGAATTGTTGAATTCAAATTCGTTTTTAGAATCATCAGTCTAGAACAGATCAATCTTGATTCATTTCGTACCCGATTCTGGTTCGAAGAGAAGAAATGGTATGTGACCTATGATCGATGGCGTGAGATTTACTTTGCTTATCTCTATACAAATCCATATTGTATTGAACATTGGTGTGGATCTTTATATCCGGTGAAAAAACTTACGACAAAATCGACCGGATCCGAGTGTACAACATTTCTGCGTGTCCAGCATCTTTTTGTTGACAAACTCTTACAGATGGAAAATGTACCTTGAACTCGATTCACTCATTTACGTGGGTTAACTATCGAAACGAATCTCAATATCGCACTCGAACTCGAATACATCTTCACACGTGTTGATTTATCACAAATCACAAGTTTTTGTTATAGTCGATCGAAAATGGAAACACCAAGCAATGAATTTATTCGAATACTCCATACACTTCCACGATTACGTTCACTCGGCTTACCTATTTCGATAATTGTCTTGCTTTTTTATCACAAGTGGCCTCAAATAATTGATCTTAGTATGGGGAGAAGTGATTTTTATCAATCGGAGTCATTAACATCCATCGAGATCGATTCATTTTGGTACTCATTCTCTCATCTGGAATACTTGCAATTTTGTCGTGAAAATATTCAAGATGTGACACGATTATTCGACAACAGAACATCTACACTATCGAATGTAGTGATTCATCATTCGGATAATGTCAGTGATTTTGATCCTCCATTGATTACATATGAACGGCTCGAAAAGAGTACAGAATTATGTCACTTCAACGATTTTCGTAACAATGCCAACATTGTTTACATGTGGCTCTAGATTCGTTTACCTCTGTCAAAATGAGTCACTTTCTGGGAGGAAGAGATTTCTACAGGGAACAGATCAATGCTTGAGAAGTTGCAAGATATGCCTATGAGAAGGTCCTTCTTGAAGTTAAATGGATATGTTTTAGGGTGGAGTTCTACAGAGGTGTTCAACAACGATTTGTTCGACAATGTCAGTGACTCTCACCTCCGACTTGTTCAATCTTCCACTGAGATTCGAAAATGATTCCTGATTTTATTTGATTCTCTTGAACAAAAGAAAGTTCAATCATCATGATGAGTTCAATTCAGAGAAAAGAGTTGAACACGATAATTAAATAGATCTGCGACATAGAGATTGCCGTGCCGATCGAACGACAAACCTGCGGGCCAATTGAGTTGATTCGACTGTCTTCCTTCACCGTTTCCACCAACAATGACACTTCCCTGTGTGGCTCCTTTGGGCCAACGCATGATTCGATGGTTCGGACCATCAGCCACATAGACAGTGCCCAATTGATCGACAATCACTCCATAAGGATGATACAATTGTGTAAGATCATCTCCTTGTCCTTGACCGCCAGCCACGATAATGCCTTCCTTTGCACCTTCCACCCATTTCATCACACGATGATTATTCCAATCAGAGAAGTACATTGAATGATCTCGATCGACGATTACATAGTATGGGGAAGAGAGTTGATCAAGACGATTTCCATGCCCATTGCCACCTGCAACCACTGTTCCTTGAGATTCTCCTCTTCGATATCGTCTCACTTCAGCTTTTCCAACGTCAGTGACATAGAGAGATCCATTCTCGTCCATTGTCAAACCTACACAAGAGATGTTGGAGATGATTGTTTCTCCACTTATCCCATTTCGACGAGGCCATCGAACCACTCTCTTATTCGAACCATCGCAGATGATGAGACTATCTCTCTCTTTGTCGATAAACACACCTAATGGGTAAGACAACTGATGACCCCCACTTCCTTCTCCATTTCCACCGGCAACCACTTGACCACTCATCGCACCCCATTTCCATTCCACAATACGTGCATTCTCCCGATCAGCGACATAGACAGTTTGATCATCATCAACATACAAACCCCATGGATAAGAGAGTTGATTAGTTTCATTGCCTTCTCCATTTCCTCCAGCCACAGTGAAACCATTCTGCGCCCATTGGGCACTGACGGGAATATTAGGAATTACTATAACGAACGAGATAGAATCGTCGTCAAAGAGATCCACTTCGTAAGAGAAAGGGTTGCGCAAAAGAAAAATTCTTCTTCGAAAAGGGAATCCGTTA